TTGAGTTTTAAATCTAACTTAAAAATAAAATAGCATTTAATTTTCCACAGTACCTAGTGTATTGCTGTATTCTTCTGGGTTTGAAAATTGGCTCCTTTCACGTCCCGTCCGCGCATCTTAGCGTGGAGATCTTAATCCCCATCCTAAATCCGAATGTTAGTAACGCGATAGGACATAAGTGAATGTTAAGTGGTGTAAATTGATCCTGGCGGAGAAATAGAGATTCTCGCGATATTCGAAGCGTAAAGTTTTTTCCTCCTCCCTATCGTTATTCGTTCGAATTCGAACCCTTCGATAAAGCCGAAGCATTTCGACGGTTCGTCAATAAACGACATGACGTAGATGATGAAAAATGATAGTAAGAAAGCAAGCGGGATATTTAATACGGGTCCATTAGGAGGCAGGCCGTTATCTCCTTGGAAGCGTTTAGAGAAACTGGACCGAGATAGATCGGGTGTTGTAGAGTAAAAAATGTATATTGATGGAAAGTCTTTTCGTGTCAGCCGGGGATGTTTTGTTTTCCATTTTTCCGCCGCTGTAAAAGATTTTAGACTGCACAATGGATCTTTATATTTTATCTAATCTAACGGTTTACTTTGCGTCAATGTCGAATCCTTTTAGAAGGGGCGTAAGTACGGTAATCATAATTTTAATCGCGCTTTTATATTATTTTAATGAACGCACTAAAAAAAGTTAATAAATCTTTCAAGTATAAGAAAGTTTTTAAAGAGAATGAAAAAGAATTCGCGGGTATTTATAATTTTCTCCATGGGGAAATTCTTAGTGAAAAGTAGCCGGAACGACGTCCGTTGTCGAGATGTTCTCCACATCGACTTTCGACGCGCTCTTTATGATAATTACGACGATAATGACGCCATTACTTGCCAGATAATGAAAATTATAATTTCTAAATGGCGACTTCTGCCAATATAACCAGAACCCCTTTGTGCCGTCGCCAAGTTTCTCGGGGGAGGCGAATGCGATAGCGGATATTTCGTTGAGTGTTCTTTTGCTGCGTTATTAATATTTCAAGAGTTTCTTTGTTATTTTTAAATTGCGTCTCGTGGCGGCTGCCTTTTCTAATGCAGTTGTTTCAGTAAATATTTTTGCGACGGAACAGTTAAAGAAATTAAATACCGAATTTACTAGAGAGTATCATCGAATTAAACCGAGTCATATGTACAAATTAAGTTCGTTTCTAAAAAGGTCTGTCGACATTACGCTCGGTTTGTTTATCGATCAAACCCGTGGGTACAAGCACCCGCGCCGGATCCAAATTTAGAAACGCCATCAAATAACAAATGTGCCTTGCATACCCTAACAGCGGAATGACACTAGGGCACTAGGAGCAAGAAAAAAAAAGGAATAACATAAAATTCGGCGTTGTTCCGTCGACGCACGTGATCGCATTAGGCCTTTTTCTCCGTTCGCATAAACCAAATTTTAATATACTTTTTCTCCAAAAATAAAATCCGACTCCTCGCTGTGATATAGAACACTTTTTCGACGATAGTGTCGCGGCCTATTACCTGCGAGTAACACAAAACGCGAGATAATAGAGACGCTCATTATAATGTAAAGTGGACGGCGCTGTTTAACCCACAAATAAAACCGAGATAATTCTATCTCACGTTTTGCCGTGCCTACTGAATTTTCGAACAAACTTTCCAGCTTAAACCGTCACTCGGACGTGCATAACATTTTAACTTTGTTTTCATCTATTGTTAGTACCACAAAGAAGCAATTTTATTTATTAAAAAAATATTTAGCGTACTAGATGCAGTGATGTACCTATTTTAAATATTGTAGTGTAATAACATTGGACTTGTTAGGATAATATTCAGTGAAACTTCATTTACTAGCCTTCGATGAATACAGTTGGTACGAACAATGTTCTTTTCCCTTTTGAGGGGTGATTTTAGACCAAAAAATAAGTGGTTGGGTTAAAATTCTCTGCAGGTATTTGTCGGCGCTTAAAAATCGAAGTATGTGGGATAATAGGGGGGTATCATCGTTTATCATCTTGGTCGAAAATGAGATACGAATGGATGTGCTGCAAGCAGGAGCGTTTGTTGGAGCGTCGCGCGTCAGAGGTCGTCCATCTTTGGACTCAATCACGGCGAAACGAGCTGACCGTTCTCCCTTAATTGTCGCATCGATCACTTGCGGCCATCCATACGAATATTACTACATATATCTTTTGGCTTTCGCGCCACCCCTTCGGCGGGGGCTATTTACCGTTCACCGCCGGAGACAGCTCAGCGCCATCGGAGAGTGGTTTATTGCGGCATGTACGGTCGAATAGTTTGCTATTTGTTGCGTTTTCTTCGTTACTTGATTTATGGTCCAATGGATGTAAGCAAACATGCAATTTTAGTCGCCCCCAGTCTCATTCGAGTTTTTCATTTAGCTCCTTCAGTCAATTGTCCCAATATAAAAATCTAGTTTAAAAGCCGATTCTAGCCGACTTCAAAGCGATGATGAAATTCCTCGACGTCTTATTTGTAAGTAAAATCGGCATTAGTCTCGTTAAAATGCCGTATATTTTTCCATGAATACATATTGGAAAATATTTTCAATGGTAAAAAATCAATTAGGTCGCGAAGGGAGCTTCTCGGGGGCATAACATAAATATTTTCTCCGAAAATTTTAAAACTCATTTAAATCGGTTTATGACGGCCATTTATATGAAACTCGGCAAATACGGGGAGCGCACGCTCGCGGGGAATTCGATGAAAGAAAAAGTTATGAAAACATCTCGGCGAGTTGAGAGCGGTCTCTCCAAATACACTCTATTCAAGACAGTTTATGCGAAACGCGATGACATTTTCCCTGTGTACACACTAATGCTGCCCATTTTACCGTCGACAGTAACAAATTATACTTTTTAAATACACGCCGACGACCTTTGACGATTTTTACCCCATTGTTGCGCACTCTTAACGGTAATGCAACCATATCTCTTTGATGGCTAAAGCTCGAGTTTATATTTCACAACCGCAACTCATTATTTACTACTCCACAAAAAATGGATTTTTTGGATTAAATAATTTTGCTCAGCGCTTTTTGGTACAAAATTTAATGCAAAATGAACTAAACAAAATAGGAAATTAATCGCATTCGAAGCAACATTTATAATAGCCCTATAGAGATTGAATTACTAACGGGAAAAGTAATTTGTAGTTCATCGAGCTTTTTCCACATAACATTTCAATAATTCCCTTTGTGCTTGGCGACATCTCGATTATAACTATGTAATTAAAAGGGAGCTATGCTAACAAACTAGAATAATACATCGAGTTATAACCGTTCGATTCATTTGCGCGGTTCTAATTAATCTTCTAAAAACTACACCGACAGAACCGGCCGATCTACAAAGTTTTATTCAAATGGTAGGTTTTATAACTGGATTAGCGATCGGCCATCCGGCCGCCATGCTAAAATGATTCCGCAAATATAAACCCGTTTCATCTCCTCTCATCAACTTAATCATGAGCAAACACTTCCGCAAATGACGCCCGTTTTTAGTGTGTACGTGCATATTCGGTTTATTACAGATTTAGGTAGCAGATGCTTTTTAATTTAGTTACATTTTCATTCGGGTCAAACTGAATTGAAACTAAATCGGATTTAACTGCAGTGTAAACTCCGACGGCGGAAAATTCCTGCCTAACGCGGAACCGTTCGTGCAACATAACTGTCTTTGTTCCTGGTTGTTGCAGCATTCGTTGTTGCATTCGGTAATTCGATTATTAACTGCTTTTACTATTTTTATTATCGATAATCTAATTTTTCTTTCTTTCATACGTTTTATTATACCTCTATACTCATGATGATACATGGAATGCAGTACATTTTTCATATTGAATTACCAGAATCATTTTCTATACTCGAATTTGGTACAAAAATTTTTGGGAATTTTGAATTTTGGAGTTTCTAATATCTATTTTTTTCTTAATACTCGTAATAAAAACACCCTGTAGACCTTAGTGTTGTAGGATAGTAGATAACGATTTTCGCATTTATTAAACAAACTTTCCCAATTTTGATAATGTGATGAATTCGGAGGAGACTCTCGAGTGCAATTTTAATCTAAATCTAATTATACTCGCCGTACCTACCGGGGTTTTCAATATTAAACAATTCCCCGGTCGATGTTAATAGCGAGAAAAATTACCTTTTCGATAACTTGACTTCTCCAAGGTCTATTCAGCGGAAAAGTATAGCGTATTTTCTCGATGGTGCTCGACAAGTTCAGATTAAACCGTTAAAATTAATTATTTCAATGTAAAATTTCCCGATCGGCGATCGCGCACCCTAATTTCTCGACGGCGAATTTTCCGATTTCCCGACGTGTAATTAAATTTCGACCGTCTTTGCATAATTTAATTTTCTTGAAGGCGCGGTCATATCAATATTGACTTTGTCTAACGTCGCCAAAGAATGCCCGTAAATTTTGACTTTTGCCTTTCACAATTCACAATCAATTACATTACAAGAGATTACAGGAACTTAAATAGGTGTATTAAGTATCTTTTATAAACTCTTGCACAACTACATTGCGTTTTTTATAGTGCTGAATAGAGAAATACAAATGGCGCTTCGAGCTTGTTAAAATTTAATTGTTTCGTGCTATTTAAAGTGCTCGTTGTAAAACAGTTAAGCAGTGTTTTACTCTAATTCTCAATTTACCTTTAATTTGAGCGGGTCTTATTAGAGGGCTCATAATGAGACAGGAGATCTATAAAGTTTCGAGATTTTCCTGGAATGTTTTAAATTAAATATTTTAAGCAATTTTCCAACTTTCTTCTACACTTTAATAAGATATTGGTACTTTATTAGATTTTTAACCGCATTTTGTAAACGCAGCTTATCGCCGATTGAAAACAATTTATGTTCTGCATATTTCGAAAAGATAATATAATTTATCAGAGTGCAAATATTTAATTGTGATTACTCATACTAGAGACAAGCTGATCAAATTTGATAACAGTTTAGTACCCAACTAAATGTGCTTATTTCGTGTTGTATTTGCTATATTAAGTTGAACATATCAAAATAAAACAATAATATGCCTCTTTATTTAGAAATATTAGGATTTATGTTCAACGACAAAAGATCATCATGGCTAAAGGTAGGCATTTAAACAATTAAAATTCATAGATTATTAAAATTTATTTTTTTTAGATATTTCTAGTGACGCATTTCTTATTGACAGTTATAGGAGCTGCAGGAGCTTCAACTCCTGCAGTTTATTTGTTTTACAATTCTCCTACATTGATACTTATGTTCTGGAGTGTGGGTTATAAAAATAACCTAGAATTTCTACGATTGGTATGTTTCTTTCCAGTGCCTACAATTCCTATATCCTAATAAAAAATATAATTTCCAGATCATGTTATCAGAATTATTTACTATGATAGCTGATATCTTTTACACGGTAATGCAATTATACATCAAAGGTAAATATTTCGTTAAAATGTATAATATTTAATACCTTAATGGTAACATTTCAGGGCATTCATTAGTATACTTCTCTTCGGCTGTAACTATATTACAGCTTGTACTTAGACCGTACGTGGTTCGTTATTTATTGTTAATTAAGGACGAAGCGATAGAGCGAATCTCTTCGGAAGGTAAAATTTGTGTTGGTTCTTTTTTAATCGATACACACGATTAAATTTCTGCTTATAGATTTGGAAAATGCCGAATTCTCTAAAAGCAGTATGGGCGTTAATGAATACGAAGCGGAATTGTACGACGAGAAAAACCCATTTGAAACCGGTAGACTCGCTCGACATTCGTTAAATTAGAATTTATTTATACAGGGTCTTACCCATGTGACCAAATTAGATTACAGCTAATATGATGATTTTATAGATAAATTTAGTTTTATTAGTTTTATTACAATTAATTTCAACTAGAAAACTAATGAATCTGTAGTTCTAGTCAATGTTTTAAAACATTCAACTTTTGTATTTTTACAATATAATATACAATTTTCAAGACATATACGCTGCATTAACAACAAAGTGTAGATATAATGGATGCATAAAACCACAATGTAGGAACCTGGGCTGAGAAATACACAAGAAATCCAACGGGTTGTAAATAAAAATTTATTAGCCACTACTATAAAGGGGCCAATATGTGATGTTTACTTCTTTTAATCTGAAGCTCAGCGGGCGGAGAGATTGAACTATCTCCTGCACGCCGGGAAAATATGATCATTATTATTATCTATACTTATAGCTACTTCTTATTCCTCGTGCAGGATCGGATCGGAAACATTCCCTTTGGATAATGTATAATATTTCTATGCATTAGGTATCCTGTATAATGAATGAGGCAATTTTCGAGTCGAAAAAATTTAACGACGTGCATCTCCCTTTTTTAATCTCGGCATTATTATTGTTTGCTAGGACAGAAGAAATCGAGTTGTAAATATTTTATGGAAAGTAATAAAAGTAAAGTTTGAGTTGTATTTGCATATAAACTATAAAAGCGCCGACCGTATATGATACAGATCGTAAAATTGCAAATATTTTTATATAGATATATACGTTTTGATATATGTAATATAATTTTCGAAAATGCCCCGGTTGATAAATTTACGATTTTTGTTAAATAAGCTCTCTTTTACTGTTCTTTCTTTCGCTCGTCCAGAAACATAAATGAAAACTCCAAGCTCTACAATACGTGCATTATCTAGTAATTGTCATTATTATACGATTTTCTAATAAACCTAGACTAAATAATTTTACAATATTTTATAAATAATAAACGCACCTATCATTTGCAATAATATTTTCAAACAAATTAGATATTAATCGTATACATTAACATGTAAACTGGTTTTCCACTCGTCTGCGGTGCTATGTAGCTCTAAATAATGAACTGCGAAACCGCTCAAAATTTTAGCATGATTAATAGCACGTACGTATACATGAAACATTTCGCAGTTTGTAATTTAAATTTACCAACTAATAGCACTCCTAACGATATCGAGACCGTATATTACTTAATATTTTGCGCGGTGTAATCGTAATTGATGTTGGATCATGTTTGCGTAACACGTCAAAAGGGGCATCGGGAGTGTTTGCTTTGTCGTCCCACCAGCGAAATGTTTAAGTTGGATTTTAGTAGTTCGCTGCGAACGGATGCTAATAATAGACGATAAACCTTTTTCGTTATCAGGAATTTATTGCGTTACATTTCCAAACAAAACAAGCCGTCCTCTTTCCGGTTTTCTTCGTCGATAAATTCGTGTTCTGTTGCGATATTGTCGACGAAAATGGCGGCCGTTTTCGGTCTGTAAACGCTGCTGTATGGAGATAAACGGGCCGAATCTACCTGCCCGCATATTTTTTTATTGCGTCGCCCAATTAATTTTAACGGCACGCAAATTCGCAAATATTAAATTTGCATGTAGGTGTTAAATTAACAACGAAAGTTCATGAAAGCGCGATTAAAAATCATTGAAACTTAATAGTGTCTTTTACTCAGGAAAGCGCTCGAGAAAATGTACCTTTTATAGCGCCATATTTTGAATATGCAAGTCAATTATGCACCTAATAGTCTCTTATTTATTTAAGATTAATTATCGAGCAAGATAGTTAGCTACCTACTTAAGAGATTTAATAGTAAAGGGAGTGAAGATTATATATTATAAAGGGGTAATTTATGTATACAGGAGAGACACATATCAAAAAAAGAGCTACTTATAATTTGGATAGATCTTAAAATTGGATGCAATTCGATGCATATATTAGTCAGAGGATTATATTCGGTTCCCGATTAAAGTACAGACGTCGAATTGAAGCTTATTGAAAGTGCGAATTATCCGGGAGTTTATGCGTTGCAGATCGTCAATGGTTTTAATGAATTTGCACCGAAGCAATCCGGGGCAAATGAGTTTTGGCGAATGCATTGATGGCAAATCGACTAACTGGTGCAGGTAGGTATATTAGACGTTAGATATACGTGTATATAGTCGCATCGAAAAGGAGATCAATTCGAAGATAAAGCAATTTCGATTTGTGCCGGCATAGAAAACAGGACTATTATCATAACCGAAGAAAACTAAAAGTTAGTGTAATAGTTATGTAAATAAAAATCTCTCTCGCGCGCTAAACATTCGGATAGCTCCTTTCCGCGAAAATGATATGTTGTATCGCATCCAATTTGTATTCCGCCGATGGCGCTTCAGATATTTCCTTATAAGCTCCGCAAGTTACGATATCCCGCCCGGCGCTGCGATAACATCTTTAAAACATTTTTAAAATATTGAACATTTAGACTTTTATAAGTCGACTCTAATGGCCACATAAAGGCGATGTTATGCACGTTTTACAAATACTATTCGTTTTATATACGTTGTATAAAAAATATCGTATATACCGGGGTGTAATTTCATCCTGTTGCCCTCTCGCTACAATCGCGTTTATTAGCTAATTGCGGGTAATAAAGGACCGGATTGATTGATTGGGTGGCCCTTGTTCGGTGAAAACGAGCTTTATAATTAGGGATAAGCATCTATATAGGACTATCTATACACAGACCTCTATCGGCGCGCCGAAGAAAAGCGCTTAGAATTTTCTTACCGAAGATTTGCATGATTGATGGTATGGAATGAGTGAAGCAGGCGGGTGGATTATCTGCATTGCGTGCATGTCTCCTAGCCGTATCGATTGGATAATGGTTCGATTTCGTCGGCTTACAATGCACATACAATAGCACATCTTTAATTTTATAACCTGATATTCCTACACTGCACAGTTCCTAAATTTGCTTCAGTGTAATAAAAGCGTATTTTCGCGTATGCGAAAAGGGGAAAAATGTATAAAAACGCGTTCCGTCCCTTCAGTCGAAAGCACTGCATATATATTTGATATAAACAATTCCCCATGTTTGTATATTATGGAAATCTCGAATCCTTTTGTCGTCGCATTTTTTCGCTTATGCGCTTATCATTTGTCAAGAGGAAAAAATGATAACTCCGTTTTCTGGAAAATAAAATTACTTTCGGGCAGAACGCGCGACCCCATTTCTGGCTCGACATTTGAATCCCAGACAATGGAATGTCTCGCGAATCGGGAGGGTCGAAAGGACCGTATTTAGGCCGTTGTCGACGATTGCTCACGACTTTTCGGACATGAAATGTGACATTTAAATGCATTGCTCGTTGGAAATCGAGTCAGCTGTTTAAATTAGCGAGCGTGCTCGTGCCAGGTCGTAGAGATGTGTCGGACGATACCTGGTAAAAATTTATATGCGACGACTCGAATTAAAATCTTCTACTCTTCTAATTGGAGTTTGGAATTCTCGACGTTTCTCTATTACTTTGCTTCATTTTAATTGTAATATTATTCCATTTTATTAGAAAGTTTGCAAACTTGTTTATCCCATCTCTATTTGTGATACCTAAATAAATATTAGTCGTTCCAGTTACCGAATTTCTTTATAGTGCTCGCTTTTTCGCAAGAGTATTGCGGAATGTTCCGGACTCATTTTAACAGAATTTAAATTTTAAGTAGTTACTTTCAATTGTCGTTTTATTTTTCGAGAGGCGTAGACGTTGAATTTAGATTGTTACTAGAATTTTTGCTCGTTCACGACGACAATCGACTGCACAAATTAGAAATTTGTTTTTCTTCAATTTAAAGATACAGAGGTCGCGTGCTGATGTGATAAGTAAATTATTTTGTCTCGTTACTTTGATGAGGTCGGTCCTGTTAGGTAGATGAAAAATGATTGATGATGGATCGCCAGCTTGACGGTGCGCTACAAACAAAAACACGTTTTCCTCCGCTTACCGTCATAATTATTCATCATAATTTGTCACAGGCACACTTTTCCCTCGATTTATAATACTAAAACCCCATCGTAACCGCTCCCTAATTATTTTCTAATACTCTCATTCAAAACCTCCACCTACATCTAATTCTTTTGTCGCAGATAGCGCGAGGTTCTTGATTATTAACATCGAACAATGAGCTGCAAACTCAATAGGTAACCGCAATAATTCAGCGTATACTAGCCGGGAAACTAAAGTTCGAATCGATTCGACATTTCGCAACTCTATCGAATATCGAAATTGCTGCTCTTCTACTTCGGATACCCGAAGGTGATTTGTGTCTCGCATCTCATATAGGAGGAGTATGGATCGAGCTCGAACGTCGGCAAAAAAAAACCCAATTAGAATTAGAAACGAAGCAGATTTTCAAGCCGATGTTCAATCGGTAGCCGGAAGTTCGCGGAATGAGCGAATAAGACATTGAACACCGAACGTTGCCCCGATTGAATCATTAATTAACATCAGGAATTAGGAATAAGCTACAACATGACTAAATTTTATATAATTTACAGCGTGGTGTAGTTGCCAAAGGGTTAAATAGAAAAATGATCAGTAATACGTAATACTGCTCTCATTAGTTATGAAATTATAGAGCAGGATAATTTCCGAGAGTCCTAAAAGGCTTTGATGAACACAGAACGTTGCCCGGATTGAATCATTAATTAACAGGAATCAGGAATAAGCTACATTTAACCATTACTAAATTTTATAATTTCCAACGTGGTGCAGTTGCCAAAGGGTTAAATGTAAAAATGATCAGTATTAATAGACCAGCTCTTGCATTAGTTATGAAATTATCGAGCAGGATAATTTCCGAGAGTCGGTCGTAAATCTAAGGCTTTGATGAATATAGAATAGTTAAATTAAACTAGACACTTCCGTGCAACTCAGGTACGAATTTAATTTGATATCCGTCCGTGTAATTTAACTGCGGCGGGGCGCCTTGTTTCAGCTAAATGACGAAATTTCCCCGAATGAGTTTTCCTTTTAAAAATGTTCGCGCGCGCTTGATGCGTTTTTTGCAGTCGTCGGTCGTTCCGGCATCAACTCTAATAATGGGAGATGGCTTTCTAGAGATGCGAGCGAACTGTTACAGTTTATTTAA